GGGGGGGGGGGGGGGGCAGGCAAGCCCTCGTCGCGACTCCACGTCCAAACGACAGGAGCCCCACGGCAGACAAAGCGCAAGGCCCGGTGCGCGTGGGTGAGCGGTGTGTGTGTGTGTGCGTGTGTGTGTGTGTGTGTGCGTGTGTGCGTGTGTGCGAGTGTGAGTGTGTACGTGTGTGCGGCGCGGTGTTGGGGGAGGGGGGTGCATGCGCCTCTTGACGCCGATGACCGACGCCAGCTTGAGCCTCGACGCGGGCGGGACCACGCAGATGTCAAACCTGGCGCCGAGGGGAGATATGGGGAGATATGGGGAGATATGGGGAGATATCGGGCGGGACCACGCAGATGTCGGACCTGGCGCCAAGGGCAAGATGTCTCCCCGCACCTCCCCACACCTCCCCGCACCTCCCCACACCTCCCCACACCTCCCCACACCTCCCCACACCTCCCCACACCTCCCCACACCTCCCCACACCTCCCCACACCTCCCCACACCTCCCCACACCTCCCCGCACCTCCCCGCACCTCCCCGCACCTCCCCGCACCTCCCCGCACCTCCCCGCACCTCCCCGCACCTCCCCGCACCTCCCCACACCTCCCCGCACCTCCCCGCACCTCCCCGCACCTCCCCACACCTCCCCGCCCCTCCCCGCCCCTCCCCGCCCCTCCCCGCACCTCCCCACACCTCCCCGCACCTCCCCGCACCTCCCCGCATCTCCCCGCATCTCCCCGCATCTCGAGACGCCGCACCTGACGCCGCCCCTGGCGCGGCCGTCCTCGTCGACAGGGCGCTGCTTCAGCCGCAGCGTCCAGCCGTGCACCCGCTCCTACGTCAGGAAGGCACAGAGGGTCAGGGGTAGTAGTACGTCAGGAATGCACAGAGGGTCAGGGGTCATAGTACGTCAGGAAGGCACAGAGGGTCAGAGGTCATAGTACGTCAGGAATGCACAGAGGGTCAGGGGTCATAGTACGTCAGGAATGCACAGAGGGTCAGGGGTCATAGTACGTCAGGAATGCACAGAGGGTCAGGGGTAGTAGTACGTCAGGAATACACAGAGGGTCAGGGGTAGTAGTACGTCAGGAATGCACAGAGGGTCAGGGGTAGTAGTACGTCCGGAATGCACAGAGGGTCAGGGGTCATAGTACGTCAGGAATGCACAGAGGGTCAGGGGTAGTAGTACGTCAGGAATGCACAGAGGGTCAGGGGTAGTAGTACAGGAGTGCGGCGAGAGTGCCAGGGGCGGGAGTGCAGTCTCGTGCCGCGTAGACTCGCAGCACCGATGGAATACACGGCGCTCCCTTGGTACGAGGACAGGGAGTGCAGCCGGAGACGGCCGAGTGCAGCGGAGTACGTGTCCTCTCGAGCGCTGGTTGGAAGGCATGAACACGTCTCCTCCGCTTCTAGGGCACGAGATACGGGGAGATACGGGGAGATATGGGGAGACACTCCGGTTCTAGGGCACGAGATACGGGGAGATACGGGGAGATGTGGGGAGATACTCCGCTTCTAGGCCGCCCCTCCTCCGCATCCACGCCAGCCTTGCGGAGCCGCTCCAGAGCTCCAAGCACCGCCGCCTCGGCCTCCGACGGCTCACGCACGTGCACTCCGATTGAATACACGGGCCTCGCTCCCTTGGGAGCGGCGGGGGGGGGGGGGGGGGGCCTCAAAAGGGGAACCAGGGGCGGGTTTAAAATTTGGCCCCCCAAAAACATCCCCAAAAGTAAGGCTTTGGGTTTGGCCGGGGGAAAAAACCTCGGGAAAGGCCACCCCCTTCCGGGTGGGCCCCCCCCCTCGGGGAGGGAGCCCCTCAACCTAAAATGGACCC